GAAACCAAAAAGCTGCATATAAAATAATAATCAAATTAACCATAACTCACTGGATAAAATACATTCATGAACTCACAAATTCCCCACTCCAAAAAAGAGACAAAGTTGAAATTCCCGTGTTTCTCCTCATTTTGACTTCAGCCTTTCTAGTTTTAATTCAAACAAACCACTCAGCTGAGCCTGAGGTGCTATTTTTACAGCTGGAGTCAGAATCAAACTTCTTTAGAGTTTGGGAGTCTCTTTAGAGTCTCCTCAGTGCTGGGACTGAGATGTGAAATGTATTCATGGTGTCAAACCAGGATCTAGAGCACAGGTGTCTCCCTATAAATAATGCTAATTGCTATTGACAGTAGCTGGCACCTCTTCTCCTTTTTTTCTGGCAGTATCAGTCAAGATCCAATGGCCCATGGAATCTGGACTATTTTCATAGTCATCAGTGTTAGGGGGAGCCATGCGAGCTGGGCAGTGTAAGGGAAATTTAATGCGCTGCAGCATGTGCCCTCCTTGTGCCATGATAGTTCTGACAGTTGATTCTCTTGGTATGCGTTTCAAAGAACAGTGTGTTATACAGTATTTTGTCCAAAGGATCATCTCTTTCTCCCCATACAGGATGAATGTGATGAACATGTGTCTGTGCTAATCATTTTCCACTCCCACCAGACTTACCCGCAAGTTCTGGATGGCCTTTTCCTCTCTGTCATCATCTCTGTAGAATTTCCCCAGAACCACCTTGAGCTCAGCTGTCTTGAGCACAATGGTCTTGCCCAGATCTGTGACGCAGTGAGCTGCCACCACCACAGTGCGCTCGTTCACCAGGGCCCCGCTGCAAATAAGGATCCAGCTTCCTTTCCGGAGGCTGCTCTCCTTCACCCCGTTGGCTGTCCGATAGATTGCCGCTTGCCACGGCCACCTGGTAGAGGTCACTGTCTTTTGAAGGGTGATGTTTTCTGCTTTTCCGCAGACTGAGGAAACATGAACCAAGCGTGAGGTAACGTCTCTTCCTCTTCAAAGAATGTGAGTATCACTCTTCCTTGATTCCTGCTTAGGATGTGCCTCAAGGAACCAAACTGCAATGGTTAGCATGAGGCACAGCTTTCCTATTAACCTTTAGCTTTAACCTGCAAAATTCTAGTATGAGTATATTTTATATAGCTGTAAAAGACATTCATTTTTTCCATTATTATCTGAATTCCTGGCTAAAGTAGGAATGTGGATTTAGCACTTGAGCAAGTGAATTTTCATGACAACCTTTTCAAGCTGCACTATAATGAGGTAACTACATAAAGAACTGAAAAGAACACCACTGACTCTTGCTTATACTAAATCACCATAAAACCGGCAGTGTACTAAAACCCATCCTAGGCAGTCACAGAGTAACTGTGGGGTCATCTCCTAGAACTGACCTTGGCACAGCTGCGTTCATTCCTACAAGGACAGACTTCTCTTGCAGCAAAAACCTTGAAGCAAATGCACATAAATCAACAGCTATCTCAAGGAAAATGAAAACAGAAAGCCATGCCTTGCTCTAGGAACATATTACCCTGGCTTAGGTCTGGGGTACAATTTTCCATAGTAGGAAAGGTTTACTTCAGTTCAAGGGGTTGCAGCAGGTGGTCAGGAATTTTTTCATTTCCCTCAGGACAAATGGGTTTTTTTGGGTTGCAGTGTTTACATGCCCACAGCCAAAAGGAGTGAACGAAATACTTCTCAACCCCTGAGATGATCTCAAAGCAAAACCACAGATGAGGACTCTGAGAATCTTTCTGATGTTAGGATCTAACTGATGTTTTAGGATCTAAACTTCCATAGTTTGCTTGATGTCAGTAGCGAGTCATACCAAATCCTGTGATGTTATTATCCTGACTTACTATATGCACTATCTCCGAATAAGATTTCATCTGATCTTACATTTTGCAATATGAGCCCTTCCTTAGCAGGGTATATTAAAGGAAGGGCCTTTTTGAAATGCAGGTTTTCCATTCTATTGCTTAAACCTTGATGTTTTCTTAAGCTGTGTGCCAAAGTACAGAGATGAAAGAAAAATCCCATTTGCAGTAAACAAAACAGGAAAACATGAGGTGATAATTAGAAAACATTTTCAAAACATGAGAGAACCCCATTTTGCCTTTTGCTCAATAAAAGAGTAGAAAAAATGATGGCAAATTATAGTGCCGAAAGCTTGATCCCTTTACCATCACCTACAGAAGTTCTACTGGTGGGTAAAAAGAGCCATGTATCTTGCAAGCTTTATTGCTCCTATTTCCCATCTGGAAGCACAGAGACTCTACAGTGTTAGGACTCCCTAATTATCTAAGATGAATATACATCCTGTTTCCCCCTCCACCAGGAGATGTGCACTTTTTTTTCCCTTAGAGACTCACTTGGAATACACACAGGGGCCCTCCCACTCCATTTGCCTGTCTTCAGACAAGTCCTCCTGCTGCTACCCAGGCGGCGGTAGAAAGGAGAAATGCATTCATACTGCAGCTGAGTGTGCAGATGCTGGTACCCCAGAGGCAGGTCTCCAAATGGCAGTGCCGGTTTCTTGGTTGGATAGATTTCAAGCTTTTGCTTGCTGAATGTAGATGAGTAAAGTTGATGCAAAGGTGTTTCCCTGTTTCAATGCAAAAAGGGTACAAGGTAATAATAATAGTACGACAAAAACAATCCTTACCGTAGATTTATTATTGGTTGTGTTAAATAGCCTTTTAAAACGTAAGCAGTTAGCTTGCTTGTGAAAGAATAAGGCAAAAAATCTTTCCAACATAGTTCAGCAATATTTCCATTTACCTCTCTGCTATTTTGCTTATTTCTATGTATATACATACAGATCTTTGCCTATAACATATCTGTTTGTGTGTCTTTTTGTTTTTCATTTTACAGTTTCTGGACTGCATTCAGTTGCTTCTGAACGTGGAACAGTTCTTGCCATTCACAAAAAGACTGGGATATCACATTTTTAATACAGAAATTACACTGGAAGTTGGCACTGCCATCATTAGTCCTCCCTAGAGAGGAGTTAGACGCATCTTTTCTCTGGTGAACATTTTAATAGGCAGTATTAGAAATCGATTCAGATTAAATCATGTTGATAAAGTTTCTTGATTTAGCAATTAACAGAGATAATTACTTCACCACAGAGACTTCATAATTGCAATATGCACTAAGCTTCCATTTAGAAATTGTACTGATTAGCTGAAACGTGGCACATAATTAAAAAAATAAATACATGCATCAGCCTGGATATGGACCATAAGGTTGACTACAGCCATACTTAAATCTTCATCACTTAGAACATGGCCCTTGCACTAATGCTTAAAAGCACGTATCTCCAGAAAAAGCTTTTTGCATCTGCAAAATTCAGAAAAAAAAAGCAGGAAATTAATTTCCCTGGAGATTTCTGGTACTGCCTGCATCTAGAAGAGCCCCAAGAATGGATTTTTCACATGGCAATTCCATTTCTGGTCACAGAGAGACACAGACTGTCTCCATCACATAGCATCTGTGAGATGATATGTGACAGCACTCAAGGAAGGAAAAGTTATTAAGAATGAGAGCAATGGCAAGTTTCTCTAATTTTGGAAGAGGGATGAGAGGTGCTGTGTGTTCGTGCTCAGACTGTCTGGGTCCAGTTCCCTACTTACATGTGACCTTGCATTATTGCTTTACCCATACTTTGCCTCACTATTATTCTGTAACATGGAAATCTTACTTCAAGGGATAAAAACAATTCACAAATACGAGATGCCCTCATGGTGCTATAGAAGTGGGGACGTGTATTTGCTCTCATGCAGCAGGTTTAAGCAATCTGAAACATTTAGCATAAGAAGACTTGTGTTCAAAAGCATAGGGAGAATTTAAGAAAAAAAAAATCTTCTGATGGCTACTAAAATCTCCTGATGGCTTCCCAGGGCCATCTCTAAGATCCTAAGCCACAGACAGCTGGAAGGCGGGAGAGTATCTGCGGGAAGTATGAGCTTGCCTTGTTCCTAAAGTCTTCTCTAGGCATCTGCTACTGGCCATTGCCAGAGACAGGATAGGGCTTGAGCTGGACCTTTATTCTGACCTGGTATGGCTGTTCTTAAGACCAAAGATGAGGACAGTTCTTGCACTGCATCTAAAAATAAATGAATCCTGCACTGCAAGAAGACACTGAAATGAGAAATAATTACTTGGACAAAAATGAACCTGAACGTTGCAGCATAACCAGAAAGATTCAGATTGGGCTCATTTCAAGAAATCAGCAAAAGGGCACAGCCAGACAGGGTCTGATTTTTCATTACTTCCTTCCCATCCTACTCGCCTTCCTCCTCTCCCCCATCCCCATCCCAAACCCAACTTTATATCAATTGTACTGTACTGCTTTGGACAGTGAAACCTAATGGGAGCAGATTACACTAGTATACCCCCTTCTCTCCTTGTGCTCTCCCCGCTCACTTATTCACTAAGACGCCATGTTTTCGTATTTTAAAACACATCCGTAGCCCCAAGGAATTTTTCTGAGATAGTTCTTGTTGTCTGTCACAGGCTTGCAAGCCTTATTGCAGCATCATGCCGTACTTTGCACATCTCCAACTGTGCATAACTTCTTGGCTGCCTCCAGCAGCTTGCAAACCTGCGCTTAATCAGAGCTCCCCTCCCAGCAGCTGTCATTGCTCCGTTATCAGCGGAGCTCACACCAACCATTTTGCAGGAATGGCTGCTCAGTCGGGCCAAAGCACACAGCGCGGAAAGGAGAGGAGGGAAAAAGCAGTCACGTTTTTCTTAAAACTATAGTTGAGGTATTGCATTCTCACCTTGACTGAACCTGCATTGGAAGCACTTTCTGTCTCACCAGGTCAGAGATCTTTGGCTCTCTGCAGGCTAGAAAAAATACAATGTTGCACAGTGCTTTTCCACATACAGAGCCCAAACGTCATGGTTCATATACCTTTCCACCCTTTCCTGTAGCTAGCAATAGTGAATTGAATTAAGAAAAGAGGCAGTAACTTCTATGCATTAAAATAAAGATAGGCCATAAAGCCTAAAGCTTTAGAAAAACACTTCCCCGCAGATCTCCAGATCTATCCCAACCCTGGAAGCAACTGAGCGTCTTCTGTATGGGGCACTTTCAGCCATGGAGGAAGCTGTCACTGTCAGTGTTTGAACGCCAGGTTTATACCACTACAACTGATAGTTTGGAATCTGAGCAAACTTTTTCAAAAACGGAATTATACGTAAAATATTTAGTGTGCCTCTCTGTAGCAACACAAAGCTAATCCCAGGCATACAGAGAAAGGCAAGCCAGTATGACAGACTTTTGCAAGCCTGTTTGCTTGTGGACACTTCGGGAGGAGCTGGCGAGTCTGATTTAAAGGAACACCGCAGAGTTACCTGAATATACACAAAAGAGCAGAAGGAATCCAGGAATTTCTAACTTTGCCTATTAAATTTATTTTAAGAGGAGGATGAAATATCCAGCTTTATCCGTTCAAATGACTTTGCCAGAATCTCTTCCCTGCTGCGCACAGTGGAAGAAAAGGAACCTTGCAGGATGTAGTTCATCTGTATGCTTGAGCACTCATGTTCTGTGGGATTTAACAATATCTAGCTCTTTGTCATTACTGTGTATGTTAACCTTTGTGTCACTATCAAAGTTAACATCAGTAAAGATGCTGTCCACAAATGGAGATGATTACATGCTTCAGGGAGAGAGTATTTCCATCTAAAATGGCAGAATAAAGCAAATTCCCCAGGGGACAGATATATTTCCTTATATTATCATTACTTTGGTTAACAAGAAAATCTATTAAAATATGTTTCAAAAAATTGCTTTGGGATAAAGAATTTGGCAGTTCCCCAGCCCAAATTCCTTTATCCATTCAGGGCTCCAGACATGATTTCAGTAGCCCCAGGTCTACAGTGTAATTCCCTTTCTAGCAAAGCATTTAAAGATGTGTTTCAGTGTTTTGGTGAATACAGATAGTGTAAGCATCTCCTCAAGTGATTTTTTTGAATCATGCCTTTGAGGCTGCAATCTACAAGCCTGGCCTTAGAAACCTTTACACTTGTGACTGGGCCCATTGACTTAAAAGGACTGTGAGAGGAGAACTGAGCCCTATGACAGCAAGTCTGATGAGACAATTATTTCCTTCTATTTCAGTTCCCTGCTGATCTTCTTTGATTTTGATCGTACACAGTTTTATCCTAACATGAGGGTAATAAAGGTCTAGGGAAAAAGTCCTCTCCGTGTTTAAAGATGAAAACATCTGCTGGAATTGGGCTGATTTTAGCAGCCAGTAAGAGCTGGCAAACTACCAGCCTCAGAATCAAGAGTCAATCACAGGGTTTACTCTTAGGAAAACTGATTGATTGGCCAGTGTAAATTATATAAAACAAACTCTAGTAAAAACATAGCAGTTTTTATGAGTTCTTGTAAAAAAAAAGATTGTAAACTACCTTTTATGCAGATTGGCTGTTTCCCTGACCATTCTCCATTGTCTTGGCAGGTCCTCTGTTCATTCCCACTAAGAACATATGAGTTGTTACAAAAGAAAGCAATGACTGTGCCAATTTTTGCATAGCGTCCATTCAAGAGCCCAGTGTCTTCTACCACTCTTCTGTAGCCATTGAGTGGGCCACCAGGATCTGAGCAGTTTTTTTCATCTAGAACTAATGATAGGGGGAGAAAAAATAGTAACCATTTTATCAAGTTCACAGCATCATTTTCTCCTATCAGATGACTGCTTGCCGCTACATGCAGATGCTACTACACAATCTACACTTAATTAAAGATGCCTTTTCAAAACCTGTCTGGGATCCCAGTCTTAGAAAAGATCAAATATTAAAGGAGCGATAGTAATACAGAATCACAGAATCACAGAATCGTTTAGGTTGGAAGGGACCTCTGGAGATCATCTAGTCCAACCTCAATACAGATGTCTGCCTATAATAAGCACTTCAGTCTTTGCTGAAAGTGTAAGAGTCCCTCAAACTTTGCTTATAATCCTGAAAAAGAAGCTTTGACTTTACATGATGTTAATGTTCCATTAACTTACACAGGGCTATTTCATGTGCCTAACAGGATGCACTTGTAATATTTGCAGGGAACTGGCCTTTGGCATCCTTTTACCATTTCTGCACTTTCAAAACTTCACTGGACTTGGATAATAAAACTAGACTACTTAATTTTACTTTTATGTTTGGTTGCATTTTGGTTTCTTAGCACTGAGAGAGATCTCAATAATCCAGGGAAATATTGGAATTTAAAGAGAACATAATATATATTTTTACTGATACTAAAAATTTAATATGGAAAGCTTATTCACATGAAGTTCTGCCTATAAAACCTCTTTTACTTCCTCCTTCCCAACATTTTTCTCTTCTTTTTATTTGTTGTTCTTTTTTCTCTCAATAAACTTAAATTTATGGCCTACATCTAGATGACGATTACACTAAGTACTGCTAACAAATGCTTTTCCCTATATTTTTCAGCCCTCTGCTCTTTCTTTACATTTAAAAGCTGAAAAAGGTTCATTTTTTTCTCCATTTGGATTTCATCTTTTAGTTTTCTTGTCAGGCTGACAGTAACATGCAATTCTCTTTAATTTCTCTAACATCTCATTGCGTGATACCCCATGAACGTCTAGTTTAGACAGTTAGTGTTGGTGCTATTCTGCGTATGGAGGCCTGAGAAGGCAGAGACATGTATCAGTTGTCCAGAAATGACCTTTTTATGTCATTGCTTCAGACGTGCCTGCCCACTGAGCCTCAGTTCACAAAAGCACCAACATACAACAAACCACTTAAACGTTTATTTAAATCCCTGTGAAAGCAGCACAGCAACAGTGCATCAGTATGGCCCTGAACTGGTACCCATATCCTCATGTCCCCAGGCAGAGCCCAGCTCAACGCAGCATGTAAGCACATAGCTAACCACAATAGCACATGCTTAAATGAAGAGCACACGCTCTTAAAACTGGCATAGGCATAGATTCACTGCTTTCCTTAACAGCATTGGACTTCAGCACATACTGAAGGTTACATATGTACTTACATACCTTTCCATGTAAGATTCATATACAGTAAACAAGGAGAGCTGGACTTCCTTGCAACCAGGAGAAAGGGAGAAGCAGAGCTCTGTTTTCTTTTAATTGAGCTCCCTCTTTCCCCCCCTTACCTCACAGGCTCTCACTTGTGAACCACAGGTGACTGATAACTTCTCAGCTGAAGAATACAGGGAATCACCCAGCACATAATGCTTCATTTGGATGTTGCTTTCTGTACTGTTATCTAGCTTAGACACATCAGCCGATGAGCAGAACGCATGTTTTCAAATGTACCTAAGCTTGACC